CAAATGTTCCGTTAGAACGGCTCGTTTCAAATGTTCCGTTAGAACGGTTCGTTTCAAATGTTCCGTTAGAACAGCTTGTTTTGTTATATTATGTAAGAAAATGTCCCACTAAACGTCATTTACCATAAACGCTCCACATGACCCACTTTATCTCCCGTCAGAACTGAAGTAATGTTTGCGTTTCTACTTCAAACAGAACTGGGTCAAGTTTCAAACCTTAGTTTGCTCTGAGTGAAAAAAGACTGGACTGTTTCTTCAAGATGAATTTGTTCTGGTGTTTAACAGGCCTCAGGTCTGTAAATCAAACTTCCTGCCTGAAGTTTGATCGCTGAAACACACGCCTGATGTTCCAGACCACAGCAGCGAGTCAGACAAACAGAAAACAAAGTTTATGTGAATAAGCTAACAATCAAACAAGTCTACCAACATGGAGTCCTGACCACCGTGATTATGTCTATGAATGGATTAACGTGTCTTCACTCCTCTTTAATATTCTGACACAATGTGAAATATTTAAGAAACAAACGTAAAGGCACTTTACAAATAAATTCAATTCAGTTTATTTATAAAGCATCAAATCACAACAAAGTTGTCTCAGGGACTTTACAGGAACATTCACATAAAAGCCAGTTAGTAAAGTTCTCTCTCTAAGGAATCCTGCAGACAAGATGAATCTTGGCTTCGTTGCAGTCTCCCATCCTGAGCAAGCACAGTGGAGACAGTGGAAAGAAAAACTCCCTTTAACAGGAAGAAACCTCCAGCAGAACCAGGATCAGGACAAGAGACCATCTGCTTTGACCGGCTGGTTGAGAGGACAGGAAGGAGAGACAGACGAACACAGAATGGTAGGTCCAGATATAGGTCCAGGTCCAGGTATAGGTCCAGGTATAGGTCCAGGTCCAGATATAGGTCCAGGTCCAGATATAGGTCCAGGTCCAGGTATAGGTCCAGGTCCAGATATAGGTCCAGGTCCAGATATAGGTCCAGGTATAGGTCCAGGTCCAGGTATAGGTCCAGGTCCAGATATAGGTCCAGGTCCAGATATAGGTCCAGGTCCAGATATAGGTCCAGGTATAGGTCCAGGTCCAGATATAGGTCCAGGTCCAGATATAGGTCCAGGTCCAGGTATAGGTCCAGGTCCAGTTATAGGTCCAGGTGTACCTGAAAGACAAAAAAACACATGTTAAGGATAGAAAAAATAATTACAAATATAAAACAGGTTGAGCAGAGTAAGTAAAGACAGTAGCAGAGTGAAATTTGTAGTCAGTGTGTCCTCCAGCAGTCTAAGTCTATAGCATCATAACTAAGGGACAGCTCAGGAAACCCAAGCCGACCCTAACTATAGGATTTATCAAAAAGGAAAGTCTTAATCCCAGTTTTAAAACTGGACAATGTGTCAGCCTCACGGACAGAAACTGGAAGTTGGTTCCACAAGAGAGGAGCCTGAGAACTGAAAGATCTTCCTCCCATTCTGTTTTTGTAAACTCTAGGAACCACAAGTAAACCTGCAGTCTGAGAGTGAAGTGCTCTGTTAGTAAAATATGGAACAATAAGATCTGTAATATAAGATGGAGCTAGGTTGTTGAGAGCTTTGTAGGTTAGAAGTAAGATTTTGAATTCTATTCTGGATTTGACAGGGAGCCAATGGAGAGAAACTAAAACTGGAGAGATATGATCTCTCCCAGTAACTCCAGTTAAGACTCTGGCAGCAGCATTTTGGATCAACTGAAGACGTTTTAAAGAAGTATTTGGACACCCAGATAATAAACCATTGCAATAGTCCAGTCTAGACGTGACAAATGCATGGACCAGTTTTTCTGCATCATCTTTAGATCAGATGTTTTTGTTGATGATCAGAACGGCTTGTTTCAAATGTTCCGTTAGAACGGCTTGTGTAGTCATTTAATGTCAACTCAGAGTTATTAAAAAATGGTCCGACAGAACAGGATTTTGATGAACTATTACCAAGTCCTTAATCTCTACACCATAGGTCAGAACTAAATCAAGAGTGTGATGATAAGAATGAGTAGATGTGCGGATGTTTTGGGTAAAACCAAATGAGTCTATTAAATTATTAAAGACTATTCTTAAACTATCACTCTCAACATCTACATGAATATTGAAATCACCCATTATGATGATTTTATCAGTATTTAATAATAAGTCAGTTAATAATTCTGAGAATTCAGACAAAAACTGAGAGTGATATAGCTAAAATAAAGCTGACTGTCATCTGCGTAAAACTTCAGTATTCAGATTGTGCTCATATTAAACTGATCTTTCCTACAGTCGAGTCCACTGGAAGCGCAGCCATCGTCCATTATCGGGCTGAACCAGCAGCCTCCCACTCCGCCCCCCACCACACCCGCCCCAACCACCCGCAAAGCACCGGAACCTGATGAGTTTCTGGGTTCACAAGAGTGTCTGGACAAAAAGTACCTGGTTTGATTCAGTCCTCTTTGTTTTGTGGCTGTATTTTATGTGATTTCTCCTTTTAATGAAGTCCTGGTTCGTAGTTCTTCAGGTTTTCTGTTTGTTCTTTAGATTTTGATGGCTTCTTTACTCATTTTAGTTCAGCAGTATTAGATAACGTGCTGGTTTACCTTCATCAGGTTGACTCGGGAGTCATGCGGCCTGGTGTTTTGCCCTCCATGGCAGCGTTGCACTGATGGACAGTGCACCTGTAAACTCCCCTACCTGTGTCCCTCTGAGGGCATGAAACCAGTCTGTGGGCTAAACCACAGGAACTATTATTCCTACTGCCAGGTAACTTATGAAGGTGTGGGTTCAAAAACCAGACTGTGGATAAAATGAAGAATTAGACCGTTCTTTAGACCTTTGTACATTTCAAGGTAGTTTCTCTCTGGGCTGCAACTAATTGGAGACTAAATGGAGATTACAAGAGAACAGATGGACGTTCTACTGCAGTCCAACTGAATTCACCAAACGACCAGCGAGCCGTGTGGGCACATTCTGAGCAGCCAGGTTTTTTTTAATCATATCCTATTTTTGTGTGCATGACATGTAAAACTATTCTTGGCCATGCACATTATTTTGTTACCTCCATGCACATCACACCCACCTCGGCTTGTCCCACTTGAGACTAGTTGGAGGCTTTCGTGATGAATCTTTTTGAACACCTTCAAAGCTCAAGTTTCAGGACCGTGTGCCTCTGCAGAAAATGAGAACCACTGTAAACATCTGAACACGTGGAGACTCCCTCACGATGTCATTTGCCAAGTAGTCGCAACCCAGTGAGACACCACCTTTAGGGGCAAGACATTTCCTTGTTTTCCAACAAAGTTTTGATTTGTATCCAGGTAATGGCAGTCTCCTGTCGAAACAAAAAACCTCTTTTCTCTCACTTTGGAGAAAGCTGCAAAGGTTTGTTCACACAGACACATTTCAAGCCTTGTGATGCTTTTGGTATTCCTACTTCTGGAATAATATACTTCCTTCATATCTGTCTGATCCCAGAAAATGTTCCAAAGTTCAAAAGTTCAGTGGCTGCAGACTCAGGAATGATCCGGATCTTTCTTCCTAATGGGACTGGAAGTGGAGAGCACCTACTGGTGTGTCAGGAGCTGTGGGACATGGCGGCTGCTAATGTAGCCTGCAGGGAGCATTCACACCCGTTGTGAGGAGATGTATTTATATGTTTAATACATAGAGAGCACAAGATTTATTAAACATTGTTAGCAAACAGTATTTCCCTGTGTGCAGGGGTGCAGCCTCTATAGATGCTGTGGACTACAATGCCCTGATGGCCAGCAGTGACAACAAAAATCTTCCCAGCAGCTGCGTCAGCATCCACTGCCAAGGCTACGAGACATCGTTGGCTGAGTGTGAAATCTACGACAAGGTGAAAACCGCTGGCAGGAAGGTGGCTGCAGCAACCTGTTATAAGGAAACACCCCAAGGTGCGTTCAGAAGCTGTAACACTGTCATTGCAGTTCATTTTACGTAAAGCCAAGTCGCAACAAAAGTCCTGTTAGGGTGCTGTGTACTACGTGTTCACAACAAAGGTTCTGTTCAACTGTCCATTCAACCGACATTCATTCAACCAATCATCTAGCTCTATTTTACTACACTTCTGAGACTGGATCTTGGAAGCAACAGCTTGCACAGAACCCTCCAGACCACCCTCTCTCCAGCGACCTCTTCCAGCTCATCCAAAGGGTGAGATTGTATCTCTCTGGGAATTCCTGGGTCTGCCCTGAGGGTTTTCTGGGGTCAAACATCTCTTCTGAAATGTATCCACAAAGTATCCTTACCAGTTGACCAAACCATCTGAAATGGCCCTTTTTGATGTGAAGCAGTCCTTCTACTCTGAGATCCTTCTAAATAGCTGAACTCCTCACCCTATCCCTGAGGTGGAAGCTCATTTCAGCTGCTTGTATGTGCAATATCAATCTTTTGGGTCACCGCCCACAGCTCATGACCTCAGAGATGGAATCTAGATTGACAAGTAAATTCAACACTTTGCCTTTTCACAACAGATGAATACAGAAGTCTATCCATCATTGTCCCTCTCCGTTCCACCTCCAGTAGTGAACAAGACCCTCAGAAACTCCTCCTCTTGGGATAGAGTCTAATTTCTACCCTGGAGTTGGCAATCTACTCTCTTCCAGTTGAGGGTCATGACCTCAGACTTGTAGATGTTGAACTTCATCCTGACTGCTTCAAACTCGACTCCAAACAGCCCCGGGTCTATTGGAGATCCCAGATCAATGGAGCCAACAGGACCACATCACCCACCAAAAACCAGCATCACAATCCAAAGTACACCAAACTGCAGATTATCCACTGCACCTTGAATTGGTGACAAAGGGCACTCGGTTGTAATTCAACACTCACCAGAAACACGTCTGACATTACTGGCAATGTAAACCAAACTCTCACTGTGGTCGTACAGAGATTGGCTGGTCCTTAGGAGGGGGCAGACCCCCAAGCTCCCACAGTACCCTCTACAGGATGTCATGAGAGACCAGGTCATAAGTCTTCTACAAGTCCATGAAACATGTGAAGACTGGTTGACCAAACTATTACTTCCCAAATATCCTTGAAAAAGTTCAGAGCTGGTCCAGAGTTCCATGACCAGGACAAAACCTGCAAGGTCCGTGTGGCATATAATGTTTGCAAAGGTTTGCCAAACTGAATAAAGGTAAAAAAAAAAGAAATAAAAAATAGTTTAATTATGAGAACTAGCACACTGACATTTTTGCACATGTAGACACAAACGGTGCAATTAAATTCAATGTAACTGTAATCTTGTTTAATTTAATCCAGTTCAGTGACAATCCAGTTCCATTCATTTTAAATCAACTCTTTTGACTGCAGAATGTGAGTTCGCCTGTGCAAACCAGAAATGCATCTCCAGGAACCGAACATGTGACGGAGTCGACGACTGTGGTGACCGGAGCGACGAGATGTGCTGCAGAAGTAAACCAAATATAACCAAACAGGTTCGATGCGTTTAGACGTGTTTATGAGTTTGTGTTTGTCAGAGTGCAGGGACGGAGCGTTCCGCTGTAAGACGGGGGTTTGTGTGCATAAAGAAGCCGTTGGAGACAAACAGGTGGACTGTCTGGATGGAGCAGATGAATCAGTAAAACACACCACAGCTTACGGTAAGACATGTTAGAGCGACCTTCAAGGCTCGACCTTTAAAATGTTCCATAAAAATCATGACGAGGCTGAAGTGACGTTACAGACTGAAGAGGGATCACTGCAGTGCATTGATGTCACCTAACCAATGATGGTTTTTTTGTATTTTACAGCTGATCGTATGATTCTGACACAAACACCTTCAGGTAATGACATACTGACAGGTTATTATTTTTTATGTTTCAGTTAAAACTGGAACTTTGAGTGTTTATGGTCGTTTAAAACTTTGGCTGTCCTTTCTTTCAGATTACCTCTCTCGTAAAAATGGTACGTAGCCTGAACATCGTCTCTTATTTCAGAGGTGAGCTGTTCGTTGTCATAAAAGGGAAAAGAGAATTCTGGTTGAAAATATTAAAAAAATAATAGTCTATAAAAATGAAAAATAAAGCTAAAGAAGCCGTACCCATCCCACGACGTTAGGTAAAGAATCCTGATCAAAATGGTTTCATTTACAATAAATGTGTTCAAATTATGGGCAGGTTTCGCTGGACTAAAATAAATAAATGAATATATTTGGCTTTATGTATTCACCATACTGCAGCTCCATTCTTCCCTCACTGTGAACAAAACCCAGAGATACTTGAACTCCTCCACTTGAGGCAGAACCTCACCCTCAACCTGAAGAGAACAATCCACCCTTTTCTGACTGAGGACCACGGCCTCAGATTTGGAGGTGCTGATCCTCATCCCAGCTGCTTCACGCTCGGCTATGAACCGCTCCAGAGAGAGCTGAAGGTTACGGCACGATGACGTCAATGACTATTAGCTACTGCACAGCTATTTTTTAGCTATAAGCAATTACCTATTTTTAACTGGCCTTTTGCAACTTTTAGCTAGCGTTTTGCTAAGACTAGCTTTTTAAAAATCACTTTCTGCAAAAATTCAATTTCTTAAGCTCTTATTGTACTTTCTTGTCAGTCCTGGTGATAATTTTTGCCAAGTCAAACAAGCATACATAAAAAAGAAGTAAAAAGTTATAGTTACTTTAAAAAGATTCTTCAGAAGCACCAAAATAAGTTTGCTCAATAACCTTTGTAAGGAGGAATGACTTTTCTGATCATTGGGTCCCAAACCTCATTAACTGCTAGGAATGCACCCGGTTTCAGTCAATGTACAGTGAGCCCTCAGCTATGGCGAGGTTATGTCCAGCGACCCCTGCGGTAGGTGAAAATCCATGAAGTAGTGGCATAATATTTCTTTTATTATTAATATATATATAAGGCTTTATAAAACTTCCCACATTCCTACAAACCTTTCCCACTCTTTTCAAAATACTTAATATGCTGTTAAACTCTTTGTTGATGACGATGAGCTGAATGTATGGTACACAAAATAAATCACCGGGTTTAAAAAAAACTGTGATGCACTGAAGCCACAAGAAGTGAACTGAGATATGGCGAGGGACGACTGTAGACGACTGTCAATGACTGTAGATGATTGCAGACAACTATAGATGACTGTAGATGGCTGCAGATGACTGCAAGAAAGCTGTAGACAACTGTAGACGACTGTAGACGACTGTAGACGACTGTAGACGACTGTAGACGACGGAAGACGGCTGCAGACGGCTGCAGACGACTGTAGACAACTGTCAATGACTGTAGATGGTTGCAGACAACTGTCAATGACTGTAGATGGTTGCAGATAACTATAGATGACTGTATATGGTTGTAGACGACTGCAGACGAATGCAAGACAGCTGTAGACAGCTGTAGACGACTGTAGATGGCTGTAGACGACTGTAGATGGCTGCAGACGACTGTAGACAACTGTAGACGACTGTAGACGACTGCAGACGGCTGCACACGGCTGTAGATGACTGTAGACAGCTGCAGACGGCTGATGGCTGCAGATGGCTGTAGATGACTGTAGATGACTGTAGACAGCTGCAGACGGCTGATGGCTGCAGATGGCTGTAGATGACTGTAGATGACTGTAGACAGCTGCAGATGGCTGATGGCTGCAGATGGCTGTAGACAGCGGTAGACGACTGTATACAACTGTAGACAGCTGCAGACGTCTGTAGACGGCTGCAGACGTCTGTAGATGGCTGCAGACGGCTGATGGCTGCAGACGGCTGTAGACGGTTGTAGACGACTGTATACGACTGTAGACGACTGCAGATGGCTGCACACGGCTGTAGATGACTGTAGATGGCTTCAGATGGCTGTATACGACTGTAGACGGCTGCAGACGGCTGTAGACGGCTGCAGACGGGTGTAGATGGCTGCAGACGGCTGTATACAACTGTAGACGGCTGCAGACGGCTGTAGATGACTGTAGATGGCTGCAGATGGCTGTAGATGGCTGTAGATGGCTGCAGATGGCTGTATACAACTGTAGACGGCTGTAGA